ATTAGGCACTTGGTCAGTCCATCTCACTGAGTCTTCCAAGCATGCTGTCTCTCTCCAGGGAATAGCCTCTCCTAACAGCATGCCCAGAGTAAGTGAGGTGAAGCTTCACCATCCTTTTTGCCTCTAAGGAGCCCTCTGGCTGCATGTTCTTCGGGCAGTCCATGGGACACTCAGCACTCTTCTCCAGCACTGTAACTCACAGGCATCCGTCCTCCTTCTGTCATCCTTATTTGTTGCCCAACTCTCAGAAGCATAGCAGGTGATTGAAAAGGCCATGGCTTTAATCAGGCACATCTTAGGCTTTAAGTTGACATCATTGCTCTTCAGTTCTTTGGAGAGTTCCCTGATAGCGGACTGCAATGCGTCTTTGATTTCTTGACTGCTGGTACATATGGTGTTGATTGTGGATCCAACTAAGATAAAATCATTGACATCGTCAGTCTTTTCTCCATCTATCATGATGTTGCTTATTGGCCCAGTGGTGAGGAACTTAGTATTCTTGATGTTGAGATGTCATCCATATTGCAAGTCCTTGATCTGCAACAAGTGCTTCAGGTCCTACTCACATTCAACAAGCAAGGTTGTGTCATCTGCATAATACAGGTTGTTGGTGAGTCTTCCTCCAATCCTGATACCACAACCTTCTTCATAAAGTCCAGCTTCTCCAGTGATTTGTTCAGCATACAAACTGAAAAAGTATGGAGAGAAAAAGAAAGAAAGAAAAAGTATGGAGAAAGGATATAGCCATGTTGCACTCCTTTCTTGACGTTAAATTGTGAGGTGTCCCCTTGTATAGGGTTCATTTATGCACAGTTAATGTTCTGGAATCCCCGTTCTCCTCCGTGTTAGCCACGATCCACACAATCAAATGCTTTTGCACAAATAAAGCACAAATGTTAGTAAAGCACAAACAGATACTCTTCTGGTAGTCTCTGCCTTCAGCTAAGAGCCATCTGACATCTACAGTTATGTACTTGGTGCCGTGGCCTTTTCTAAGCTTGAACTTCTGACCATTTTCTGTCAGTGTCCTGTTCTAGTTGGTTTTGGATGATCTTCAGCAGTATTTTGCTCGCATGTGATATTAGTGATTCTTTTAGATCACCTGTCTTAGGAAGGAGAAGGAATACAGATCTCTTCCAGTCAGTGGACCACGGAGGTAGCTGTTTTCTAGATTTCCTGGCAGAGGCTGGTTAACACATCGAGAGCTACATCTGTGTTTTGGAACATGACAACTGATATCCCATCATTCCTGGGGCAATATTTTTTTGACAATGCCTTCATTACGGCTTGAGCTTCTTCCCTCCTCACCGCTGACTCTGTTTTTGGTTTAGTTTTTTTTTTCCTTGTTGTATATTACTGAGTCAGATCTGACTGGCACAGGAGGAGATTGACCCTCCTTCTCCAGCGGAGCATCTGGTGGATTCAGTAACCATTGACACTTGATCATATACTACTTCCTGAAATGTCTCTGTGTTGACAAGTTCTTTTTGGTGTGGTGGCTCTGTATGTTCATTCCCTCCATTCTCTTTTATTGCTTCCTGAATCATTCAAGACTTTGCCCAAAGCATCTTTCAGTCTTGCAACTCGTGACTTGAATTTGTTTTTAGTTCGTTCCACTTGAGAAATACTGAGCTCCTTACTAGATGGGTTCAAACCCACCCTTTCAGCGAGCCCCACCAGGGCTCCTTGTCAGGGAGAAGGGAGAGCTTCAGAAAGGGCCACCACACCCTCACTGTGACATCCAGGAAGAGGGGCACAGGCTGTGGACAAGTGGCACTGCTGTGCCTGTGGAGTTAGAGGCCAGGCCCTGGAGAAGTGAGAGCAGCAAGGTGACGCCTCGGTGGAGAGGCCAGAAAGTGAGTGAGAGGTGAACACAGGAGGACAGGAAGCCAGACTGGAGGGCTCAGCTGCGTGTTCTTGGTCACCCTTTACTCTCCTAAAGGTTATTTAGGACCCCAAGAGCTTTGGTGGATGCAAATTAAAACGCTTTATTAATACTGACCTTTTTTGAAATTAAACCAGAGGAAAATCTTAGTTTGCCTATTGAGTGACTCCTTCAAGATAATAGACTCGTGTTAACGTAGTCAACAAGTTAGCATCAAATTCTAATGGAAATAACCATGCTGAGAGTGAGTGGTGGCATTGTTTCTGCCTTCACACATCTCTGTACAGAGCTCACAGGGTGCTGCAGGCCCTCGGCGGTGGCCCTGGTCTCCTGGCCGAGGTGCAGAAAGACACCTTTCTGTGAGGGGAGGGGTAGCACCACTGGTTTCTCCCCAGAGTCCACAGCATGGCCCCAAGACACCTGTGATCTGTCACGGTGCATTCTAGGGGCATCTCGCACTGGGACCTTCTCTCATCATACTGTATCGTGGCTGTTTGGAAGTGCTGGTACGTGGCATTTCACGGCACAGCCAGCCTTGATTTACTGCTCACACTTTCCCAGAGTCTGTTTTCTACAAATTGGAGGCTGGGGCAGTCTTGCTCCAGGCCACCCCCACAGCCCAGCTCCTCAGCTCTCCCGCTCACTTGGCATCTTGGTGTCACATTTTGGGAATTTTCAGTGTTTCAAATTTTTCCTCTTGCATGTGCACTCAGTAGTCCTCAGTGTGGGGTGCACTATCCGTAACTTCTATATCCATGTAACTGGTAGACAGCACGCCATATTACCGTGGTCAGGAGCCCACCCAGGGGCCTTCAGGACAATGTCTGCAGGATCCGCCCTCCAGCACCTTCCCATCTCAGAGTCATTGACTCCACAGCTGCCTCGCTGGCAGAACTGAGTGTTCCGGAGTCCACAGGGCTCTGCTTGAGCCCTGCTTCGCCCCGCGCCAGGCCTCTCGATGGCTGTTGAGCCCTGGGTGCTCTCTGAGGTGTGGCAAGGGTTAGGTGAGAGCAGGTGTGTAAGGTACTGAGCAGGGCCTGGCCCGGTGAGCAGCTTCCGGCTGCTGTCAGGTCAGTCCTGGCCCCCCCAGCGTCACACGCAGCAGGACACCGCTCTGCCGGTCTGCGTCATCCTGATGTTGGCTACAGATCAGATGATTGTGACCCTCCAGTCCCACTGACGGATCTTTGCTAGTAGGTTGCCAGGCCTTTCCTCCTAGTCCTTCCTCATCTGGAAGCTTCACTGAAACCTGTTCAGCATCGTGGCAACACAGAGGCTTCCGCTGACAGACAGGTGGTGACTGCATGTGATGTGCTCCTGCTGGGAATTGAATCTAGGTCTTCCGCGTGGAAGTCAAGAATTCTACCACCTGCCCGCAACCACTAGGTAACAGGTGCTATTACCGCACTTATTTGTGCCATTTCTATGTCATAACCATTAGTAACACCCACATGCTCATGTGTATCCAGAGTGCTTTGTGGAGCCCTAGTGATGTGATGTTGGGCTACTAACCTAACCTAGAGGTTGGTGGTTCACATCAACCAGCCACTCTGCAAGAGAAAGATGGACCCCAGGAAATTACAGCCTCGAACCTGGAGGGGCTCCATCAGTTGGAATCGAGTCATAGGCACTGGGTTGGATTTGGGATTGGGGGGGGTGTGTGTGTGTGTAGCAGTTTGTTTAGACGTCACTGTGATGTGTGTTCTTCTTAGCAGTGAAGGGCGCTTGTACCCTCTTCTTTGGTTAGTTTAGAGGAAGACCCCTCTCAGGCCTGTCTCCACCTGTCCTGTACACAAGCTGTGCAGGGCGTGGTCCCACGCCCTCGCCCCTGGCCCCACCCAGCACATGCCTTTGGGGAAGTTAGTGCTGGTTCACAAACATTGTTGAAATGTTTAGAGGGAAGTATTTGGAATGGTGCTGAAAAAAATTTTTCACAAGGTTGAAAAATTTTCCAAATCATTAAAAACATTCTAAACTTTTGGTCTGAGTCTTGACTGGTGTTTTCATTTTTTATTTTAAAGGCATGTTTCACCTCTGTGACCTTGTTTCATCTCTTTTTCTCTTGAGTCCATTAATTCAAAATAAAAATTACCATTGCGTACTGTCCAGTTGGAACTAACCCGTAGCTGACGCTCCGCAGGTTTTCAGAAGCAGTAAATCTCACAGGCAGAGATCACCCATCTCCTCCCGTCGAGCAGCTGGTGGATTTGATCTGCCTGCCTTCGGGTGGCAGCACACCTCGTTACCACTCGACCTCCAGGGATCCTGACAGAAACATAGCAGGAGCTTTCTGTGTCTCCCTCACCTTTGGGTTAAGCATTTTCCAATCGATGTCTTGCTTTTCTGCCTTTCAGATGTTCCTCCTGCTGATCAAGAGAAGCTTTTCATCCAGAAGTTACGTCAGTGTTGTGTCCTCTTTGACTTTGTTTCCGACCCACTCAGTGACCTAAAGTGGAAGGAAGTGAAACGAGCCGCGTTGAGTGAAATGGTGGAGTACATCACCCACAACCGGAACGTCATCACAGAGCCAATCTACCCCGAAGTAGTCCATATGGTAAGTCCTCCAGCCAGGAGCGCACGGCTGCCTGCTCTGGTCTCGGCCATAGCGTCTCTGGAAGCAGGCAGCCTCTTCCCACAAAACCTCACTGCCCAGGAAAGGGTCCTCCAGTCCCAGCATGTGTATGTCCATGCTGAGGAATGATAGCTCCCTGTTAGGATACCCTGGGCGCCACTGATCATGGTCTCAGGGGTCCCTCCAGGGCCCTCTGGGGGCTAGATATGTTGTGTGTATTCATCCGCACATCTTCATGTGCGGTGGAAATTTGCAACTTTGTACCCAAGGTCTTTTTCTCTTCACATATTGTTTTAGGGGTTTTTTAACATATATGACAATGTAATGGTGCTCATATGTAGTTTGGAAGTAAAGATGTGTGCATACCAGTGTAGGAAGATTTTAATAGTGGGCAGAAGAGATGGGACCACGTGGGTATCAGGCAGATGGGTTCTGCCCATCCATGCGAATTTCCGGACCCGTTATCCTTATTGGTTGCAATGGCCTCTGCCCCTCTGGGCTGGTATGGGAAAGTGCCCTGACTGGCCGAGGCGGCGTCCGTCATACTGGGTTCGTGTGGGTTGTTCTAACTGCTGAATCTCCCATCCTCTGCTTGTCACTCTATGGCCTCTCTTTGAAGGTCAGGTACCACTGCCCTCCATCAGCACCACCTGTAAGGATGGCACACAGTATGCCTACTCTAATTCATTCTGGGCAGCTCATTCTCTTGTGTTTGTTAGAATTTTTGATATTTTATACACCCTTCAGTTTTGGACGTCCCTCATTACGAGTCCAGCATAGGACAATATTCAGAGCATCGCTCATAGGATAACTGTGAGTCAGACTCAACTCAACGGCACCTAACAGCAGCTCAACAGGGAGCATTCACGGCAAGGAGCTCTGTTGCAGTTCCAAAGGCACACGGTTCGAATCCACCATTTGCTCCACAGGAGGTCAGGCAATCTCTTCCACCCGTGACGTTTAAAGCCTCTGAAAACCTGCTGAGAGGCCAGCGTTGGGTTGCTTCTCATGGCACACAACAAGATGTTACTATTTCAACAAACAGACACTGCCTTGGACGTGCTCACCAAGTTGTACCAAGAAATCTGAAGGACAACTACTTGGCCTACCTGACTGGAAGAGATCCATATTTATTCCCACTCCAAAAAAAAAAGGTGATCCTACAGACTGGAAACTATCAAACATGATCAAAAGCAAAATCCTGCTGAAGATTATCCAAAACCAGCTGAACAGTACATGGGCAGAGAACTACCAGAAATACAAGCTGGGTTTAGGAGAGGCCATGGCAGTAGGGACATTATCGCTAAAGTCAGATGGATCTTGGCTGCAAATTTAGAGCACCAGAGGAATGTCTTATCTGTGTTTCATTGACTATGCAAAGTCCTCTTTGATTGTGTGTATCGCACAAATTGTGGCTAACATTGAGAAGAGTGGGGATCCCAGAACACTTGACTATGCTCATGCAAAATCTATACTTGCAGCAGGAAGCAGTTGTCAGAAGAGAGCAGGAAACACTGCATGGTTTAAAGTCAGGAGAGGAGTGTGTCAGGAATGTGTTCTGTCTCCTTACTTCAATCTATATGAGGAACATCATTTGGGAGGCTGGACTTTATAAGGAGGAATGTGGCATCAGGATTGGACAGAGACTCGTCAACAACCTGCGTTATGTAGATGGCACAACTTTGCTTGCCGAAACTGAGGAGGACTAGAAGTGTTTGCTGCAGAAAGCCAAGGACTATAGTCTTCAATATGGTTTGGAATGCAGCATCAAGAAGACAAAGCTTGTCACCACTGGGCTATTTGGCAGCACCATGATAGATTGGGACGGTTAACAATTTTCGCTTGCTTGGTTCCACAGTGAACACTCTATGCACCAGCAGTCAGAAAATCAAAAGACAAATTGCATTAGGAAAATCTGCTGTCAGGGACCTCTGTAGAGTGCTAAAGAGCAAAGTTGTCAGTCCAGAAACTAAGGTGCGCCTGTTCCAGGCCATGGTTTTCACAGTTACTTACTATACATCAGAGGGCTGGATCATGACTAAGGATGACAGAAGAATCAATGCCTTTGAATGGTGCTGTGGTGCTGGAGAAGAGTATTGAACATACCATGGGCTGCCAAGAGAACAAACAGATTTGTCCTGGAGAGAGTGAAATCAGGTTTCTCCTTGGAGGTGGCTAGGATTCTAAAGCTCCGTCTCACATACTTTGGGCACATGGCCAAGAGATACCAGTCCTTGGCAAAGAACATCATGCTCGGGAAGGTGAAGGGATAGCACAGGAGAGGAAGAACCTGGATGAGATAGATTGACAGAGTAACTGGAGTAATGGGGCTGGGTGTGTTGGGATCAGTGAGACTGGCTCAGGACAGGGCAGGGTTTGGAGCTACTGTGCATAGCGTTCCTATGAGGGAACAGGACAGCACATAACAATAAGTCTGTAGTGGTCTCAAACATAGTGAAGATTGTGAGAAGAGCATAGGATAGGACAGAGTTCAGGTCTGTTGTTCACGGTGGCTTTAGGTTGTAGTCAACTCTTTGTATGGCATTTGTGTTGCTTAATATAAAATTTTAAGTTCTGGTCTTCCTTCAACTCTTACTACCACGCCTGATCTACTGAACTCTTAAATTACTGAATTATTTATTTATTCATTCACTCAGTAAAGATAAAATACCTTGATTTCTCACTTTAGTCTATGTGCTTCAGGAAGAACATGAAAGTAACATTATTTCTACATAACACAGGCAGCTCTATCTGAAGTTGATTATTTGAATTCATTGTCATTCATTTTTGAAGTTCAGAGTTTGCGGTGGGAGTTGGCCACCCGGCTGCCAGGGTCGTGTAGCCGCCTGGCCAGCGTGTTTGCCGGAGGAGCACTGAGTGGATTTAGCGGCTCAGACAGGAGAACTGGGAAGATCTCTTCCTGGGAAGTCCTCCCACTCCCAGGATCATAAGGAAAAGTAGCTAAGGTTTCCCCCAGAACGTCGGTCGCTGGTTCCCTCCTCGCCCTTGACCACTTGTTGGGACTTTCATGTCAGTGGTGCGTTGTAGGCCTTTGACCTTGTTTCTTCCTGAACTGGTGGTCACTTGTCTGTCACACAGTAGATGTTTTCTTGTCCCTAAAACACTTTTTATTGTCCATTAAGTTTATGTCAGACAAGAATAGCCTTAGTTGCCATTGGTACCTGGGTCGAGTGGTATCCCAAGAGAAGGGTCTCCCGAAGGGGTGGGCATCTGCTGTCTGGGTCCGGCCCACATGTTCGGCCTTGAGCCGGAGGGGTTCCCAGCTACTCGAGTCAGGCCCTTCCTTGGTCACGTCTGGAAGCTGTGAGTTGGCAAAGCGCTGACAACACTTATGGTGAAGAACTGTGTAGGAGGCACATTGTTTACGCCTTTGGCTGCAAATCGAAAGGTCAAATGTTCAAATCCTCAGCCACTTCAGAGGAGACAGATGAGACGGTGTCACTTGTAAAGAGTCAGGCGAAAACAAACAGACACAAACCCCACTGCTGTCAAGTGACTTCCTCCCCCCAGTGACCCTCTGTCAGGTTCCCAGGCTGGCCAGCTTTCCCGGAGGAGACGCCATCTTTCTCCAGGGAAGGAACTGATGGGTGCAAACCTCTGATCTTTCGGTTAACTGACGCATTAGGCACTACACCTCCAGACTGGGAGGCCCCGAGGGACCGTTAGACTCTCTCCCGCAGGGTCCCTCTAAGTAGAAACAGGCTCAGGCCCCTTAGGGCGGGTGTCCTCCCACAGTCATAATTGTTCCCTAACTGGATACGCATACTGCTCACTTAACCCTGTTCTCACCGCTGAAAAGCCAGCTTGTCCTCTCTGCAGCAATTCGCAGGCTTTACGTGGTGCTCCTTTGACAGGCCCCGCGTGGCGTCCCCCCACCGGCCACCCATGTCTTTAAGAACTCAAGCCGTGGGCAGGGTTTCTGTGAAATGCCCCCTCGAAGGGCCCCGCATGGCACCCCCTCAGGGGGCACCGTGTGATACTCCCCTGGAGGCCCCCACATGGCGCTCCCTCAGTGGTCACCGTGTGATGTTCCCTCTGAGAGCCCCCACATGACGCTCCCCAACCACACGTGTCTTTAAGAACTCAGGCCTTGGGCAGGGCTTCTGCCCTCCCAGACCTTTAGTTCGAATGTGAGGACAGGCCTAGACTAAGTGGATAATAGAAGTGTGCCTCGGAGGCCCCATCAGGTAAGTAAAGACCTCGATAAAGTGCATCACACCAGTTTTCTAATTCCTCAGGACACGTAAAAGTTGCGTTGGCGTCATACTGGAGCCCTGGTGCTGGGGTGGGGTGAGGTAGGATGCATGTTGGATTGCTAAACGGTCCCACCGGACAAAGAGGAGGCTGTTTGCTCCTGTCATGTTTTCCAGCCTCAGACCCCTGATGGATGGTCAGTCACCACGATTCAGAGTAGGCTAGAAGGCAGTGAGTCTGTTAACGGTGCACTAGTTTTATGGGAAAGTGTGAAATGTGAGAATTACCAAAATGAGACAGACACACAAAGCGAGCCTTTGCTGTTGGGAGAATGGTGCCAGCGGACTTTATTGACAGAGGGTTGTCAAAAACCTTTGGTTTGTAAAACGTGAAGTATCTTTGAAGCATAATGAGACCCATTTAAGAAACACAATTCTGTTGTGTTTAATATAGTCACAGGGGTTTGCACCCACAACATCTAAATAGAGAATATTTCTGTCCCCTCTGAATGAAACCCCATACCCATGGAAGTCACCTCCCTACCTCCCCACCTCCCCCGTCTCCCAGCCCTCGACAGCTGCTCTCTGTAGATTTGCTCAGCCTGAACGAACGTTTTCTCTACTTAGTGACTCCTGTCCCTCTGTGATCCTCTGTGCGCGGGGCCCTGTAGCATGATGCTTTCGAGAGGCCTTCATGTGGTAGCAGGTGTGAGAACACCACCCTCTTGATGGTGGACAAACGCTTGGTTAAACGGTGTCCACGTTGTT